TTAGTTTATTAGTTATAGTATATATATATATATATATATATATATATATATATATATATGTAAGTATATATGACTATATGTATGTATGGATTTATGTATATATGTATGTGTCTATATACATTCTATAAACCCTAGAATCACAAGGTCAAGCTTCAGTTGGGCGTCAGACTTAAGAATCGCAAAGTTAAGCGTCAGACATAGACGGGTCGCAAGGTTAAGCGTCAGACTTAAGAATCGCAAAGTTGAGCGTCAGATTTAATGGTCGCAAAGTTAAGCGTCGGACTTAGTGGTCGCAATTTTTAGTCGCAAGTAAAATGCGTCAGACTTATGCGTCAGCAAAGTCAGACTTGGTGATCAGTCTAAACAAATCTCTAATGATATACACATAGCTAATCAATAAAGGCATACCTAATTAACAAAGACAAGATTAACTAGCAAAGGCTTAACTAATAAATAAAGACAGCGAATTAATGTCATATGCATAGCTAATTAATATAGGCATACATAATCAACAAAGGCAAAATTGACTAACAAAGGCATAACTAATTAAAAGACATGATATACGCATAGCTAATTAATAAACGTATATCTTAATAAGAAATAACAGGTATAAATAAAGACAACTAATTAATGATATATGCGTAGCTAATTGATAAAGGCATACCTAATTAATATATAAAACACTAACCAACAAAGGCATAACTAAATAAAAATGATACGATGAATAAAAGAAAGCACTTCCTGGTACGATATGCAGCGTGTAGAATTGCCGTAAAGTTGTATTACATAATATCACTATGCCTCCAAACACATACTTCGATAATTGCATACGCTCATGCATGTGCGTTTGACTCCTTAAATCTGACAATACAGAACATCGGGCTTTTGTTTTAGTTTTGATGACCAAAGTGCAGTTCCATGTGGCGTGTGTGCATTTTTGCAACGAATGATTAAGTAGCTTTTCATTTTTTGATACACTTCTGTTGCAAATCACTGTGAAAACCGATAATACACCTGGCAAGCACACATGCTAACCTAATGTTTCGTGATATACCGATCTTCTCGGATCAATCGATAGTCGATGGTTCCGCTTCTTCCTGTGCTTCAAGTTAAACACTCGCGAGAGCTGAACGAACTACAGTGTCTACACGCGAAGGGCATCACACGCAAATCAAATGCTCATGGTATAAATCCAAACATATCTACTTGTAATTTGTTCACGAGTGTATATACATCCCTACAGCTTACGATAGAATCCATACATACATACAACGGACACAGTTCCAGGTAATAAAACAAACGTGAATGATAAATATAAATTCGCAAGCTATATGCGTGCATATGCTCACCCAGTGTATGCGTATGGATCGGGGTCATCCTTCTCACACACATTACTGAACACCGAATGTACGATAACAAGTGGAGGGAGGCAGTTGTTTATTTATCTTGTGCCGTACATAACATAGTACATAACCAACACTCCAACGTACGCCGGGAGGGTCATATCTGAATACCCATAATCAAGCAAAGCAAGTGAGTGGGCGGTCTGTATCACACGTGTACGACTATGTATAACGAGGGAGGGCCCCTAAGATGCTAATCGACTCCTACCTCTAATCAACTCTTTTTTGCCGCCGCTTTGACAACGTCTGTATGGAAGGGATGAGAAACAATCGATAAGTTCTCAGTCAAAAGTACGTTACAAGGTAATGCGAAGGATCTGTATGCTTAGAATGATACAACAACTGGCTAGTGTGGTTCAGACACGATTCAAATGCAGTAGGTTGTAGGCCCCTTGTTTTAGACGGACAAATTCGCAAAGCATTGGCCATTTAATAACTAAATATTAAATGCAAAATAATATATATATATATATAATATACAGTTCGAAGAATTGACTATTCGAAACATGAGTGATGTGATGTTGCGGTGGTATATATATCTAACCGTTTTATTTCATAGCAAGCTGGCGTCTCTTATTGACATCACTTCTCATATATATATAAAAGTACACTACGTGCAAACATCATTTGACAAGAACACAAAGCTCACACAATCAGCATACAAATACTCTACAGACACGATATAAAAACGCTCAAGGGCTTTCACAGCAGTATCATATTTCAAGAAAATTCTTAATCATGACAGCACGTTCACATTGCGCACTACACGCTAGCCAACGACGAACGAGCGGTCGTACTATAGGTCCATGCAGTGGATACGCTCTATCAATCTAGCAACACCGTCGAATCTATACTACACATATCACAACTACCAAATGTATATAAAACACAAACGTGTTTAAAATAGTATCTGTGAATGTGAATTTTAATACAGGAAAATACACATTTCAGTTAAATTAAAACAAAAATATAAACAGAATACATAACCACTCGAATGAACGTACATAAAAACACGCAATACAAGTGCATATGACATTTCCACATACCGAACAGCGGGTGGTTCATGGCTTCCTTTGCGGTAAATCGTTCCATGTGATCGTATCTGAGTAGACCGTTGAGAAAATCTAACGCTTCCGGTGATGTGAAATGCTGGTTTTCCGCATTCGTGAATCGCCACCAGTCTTTCTTCGAGTGTCTATGGGTGGTCAATGTGAATTGAAAGGACGTATCGATGTGAATAATAACTCTTTGCATAGTCGGCCTTTGCATATGCACTTACTATAGTACTTGCACGAAAATGACACACCAATATGGATAGGAAAAATATCTGTTGAACTCACAATACTAGGACAATGCACACGTATCATGCCAAAGCTGTATTTATTACGAAAGAATTGTATTCCCCCGCTTAACGGTACAGTGGTAATCCAAGTCTAATATTTCTGACATTATTCACTAAAAACTGCAGTAAAGCGCATGACTCTCCTATGGTGTATCTTCAATCAGTAATGGGATATTGAAATATATAGGAATGTATAAATACCATTGCATCGATGTTCATTTTTAAGGTATAAACAAATAAATAAACGGACAAAGAAAATACATAAATAAATGATTGCAACAAAAACATTAATATACATGCATGCTTTCAGTCAGAATACTGATATACTTGTTGCGATGCCGAAGCACACACATACGCCTTATGTGGTGGGACATTACCTCGACACTACATAGCGACGCGAATACCACAGTAGTATTGGAGACAAACAAAACACACACACACATATATATAAACAAATAAATAGATGAATAAATAAATTAATACATAGATGAGTAAATAAAAACATACATACATACAAATGTTGCCAGTCGATTCTAAAAAATATAGACAAGTATACTGCTAGTCCTATAGACATATATACACACATACATATACACTCACAACTACGCGGAGACGCATAAAAAATTCTTGTATCAAGAGCTAAGGTAATTTGCACATAATCCGTATTATACTCGTACATGAATATACATGCTGTTTGCCAACGAAAAACATATACGCACGCAAACGTCCCTAAAGAAAGTACCTCGGGAAACTCATCGAATTATGGGTTCGAAAACAAACGAGAAACGGCCAAAAATATATGTTTAATAAAATACCGCAAAAACACATCAAAGTACACATATTCCACATGCAACATAAAAACACTTGAATATGATGTTCTATACTATTCAACTTATGTACGTGTCTTTCTTAAAAATTTGCAATATGCAGTGGAAGAGGCAGACCAGCGTTCAATTATATCCATCTGGATAGGGGATAGGCGTAAAAGCCACGGAACACACGAGAAAAGAACCTATACACATATATGGTCGTGTAACATGCTTAGTTCTAATAAGATTCACATGGTAATACACATTTTTGCAATAAGCAGTCGAAGAAGCAGCCCAGCACCGGTTTATATTCATCTAAGTAGGCGTATGAGCCACAGAGCACAAATGAAAACAACAGTAGACACACACATATGGCCTCGTTCCTCGATGATTCACACCCTTGTACATACTTTTGCAATATGCAGTCGAAATAACTGTCCAGCTCCAGGTTATATTTATCTAGATAGGCGTATAGGTCTTCCGTGCCAAGCACCCTGGCAATTTTTACCAACTGATCGTAGTTATCGTGGCCGTGGAAGAATGGATCCTTCTTGAAAATCTGAATACAATACGACCAAATTTAAGAATCGCAGTAAAAGATTGATGCTACGAAACAAACACATACAATTATCCGTTAAAAGACAGGTTCGCTCCTGAGACTAAAAATAGAATGTACAATCAGCTGAATATATATATATATATATATACGTACACACACATATATATATACAAATATGCAAGTGTGATATATGAATGACACATATATATATATACATGTGTATTTATGTACATATACTTATTTTTACATATTTTAAGCACGAGATATAAAACTGGTGTTGATAGCCTACCCGGCAATTAGTACAAGCGTACCTGACACATACCAACAACATATCATAATGGCTACACTGTACAGTATAATGAACACAATCGAAACCTCGTACGGATATACAATCGCACATTCTAAGCTTCATACATCCATATCTAGATGATAAAATGGATACACGTACAAATAAATCTACATCTATCTCGAACCATCTATATCCATGTCTGAAGACTTCATAAATGACGGACATACCATTCCAGCAAACATACAGCCCAAACTCCACATGTCAAGCGAGTAGTCGTATTCTTGCAGATCCACAAGCAGTTCCGGACCCTTGTAGTACCTTGACGCGACGCGCACGTTGTATTCTTTATGTGGATGGTAAAACTCTGCCAGACCCCAATCGATCAGGCGCAACTGCACGAGTATAGTTTAGAATAAGATGAAAATAAATGCCCTAAGCAGCAATATTAGATACACAAACACACATACAAACAAATACACACACATATATATATATATATATATATGTATATATAAAGATAAAGATATATATAATTACATCTATAGAATTTTAGATATACATACAAACATATATATATACAGTTATAAGGATGGTGCACTATGGTGAGGAAAGGTTGGGATTCGATATGGAAAATACACGTTCAAGTCTCCATATGGATGGTAAAGAAAAGTCACAGCTAAAAAAAGCGCTGAGGCAAGTTTATAAATACCTACGCACGCGATCTCAGATCTATTTACATATATATATATAAATCTCGGCTGCAGGGGTATGGTGGATCACTAAGATGTTACTTGTATCAAAAATGATACTTGTATCAGCAATATTATACTATTACATTAATATGTACTTGTATATATGTATATATATACTTTTCAGTTTTAAAAACCGTTGCGTGTGAATTGAGCATTGTAATATATACATTCGCAATTCCTTGAATATAAGTTTCAGAAGTGGAGTATGCAGCGGATGATATGTTTATTAGCAATATCAGATACAATCATATAGTCATACAAAGATGTGCGGTTGGAGGAGAATAGACGGGCAAGAGAGAGGTTCGGGATGACATTTGAGCTTGTTTTAGAATCTGTAAACATTCACACAGAAAACCGTCAGAATAAATTTCGTGTCATACAAGCACCTACCACGGCCACTGTCGTATATGTGAACTAAAGTATAAACCAGGATGAACAGAGAAGTCAATGAACAGTCGAGAAGAATTAAGAACAAAAAAATCATCATCAACTCAAGATACGCAATACAATGTATATTTATACAAATGACCATGTATCACACACACACATATATATATATATGCTTACATCTAGACGTATCTTAAATGATATGATATAGTGGTTTATATGAACATCAAGATAAAACTACTGTATATCTAGATACTGAAGTACGATGCATAATACTTGATAACATACCAAACTACCTAGTGGTGGTATGTTGATAATTATATGCTAAATAACCCAGTAGAAGCTTTCTTACTATACTATTCGTCGTTCAAATACCCGCATATCTGTAGCTTAGGATGTCACCAACCCCCTGTTGACGATTAACATACGTTCCAACATATAGTGTTGAACATATCTAAGCATATGCAATGAACTATGGCAACGTTGTACAGCTCGACATGTCAAACGTACTTACCATTTTCTTTTCATGATCAATCATGATGTTGTGTGGCTTGACATCTCTGTGCATGATTCCCATTGAGTGGCAGTAGTCCAATGCCTTGAGTAACTCGAAGATGTAGTATCGGTTGTCGAAGTCCGTGAAAGTGGGGTAGAGTACCTTGAAATCAACATTGTTGATGTATTCGAATACCAACGACGGTGTTCCCGACTGCAAAGTTTCAAGATGTAAGGCAGGGAAGAGTGGGGATATAATTAGGTTATAATAAAAACTGTGGTACACAAGTTGTACGTATATACAAATGCAACTACCAATCTGATAAGGTCTCCAAAGGACATATACTATCCCAGATATTTCAATTAAAAAACTTACAAGTGCATGTATCCATTCAGTGTAGGTCTACTGATAGGAGACTAAAAACGAACGATTCACACACACACTTATTATATGTGATCCAAAAAATAAAAAATCTATGCGCATGAATCAAAACAAACTTGTATATATATACATTTATATACATATATTTTTGTATATATATACACGCATATATATATATGTGCAACACACATATATACATATGAATATACATACATACACATATAAATATAAGTATAGGTATCTATACACAAAAACAAGAAGCATATGATATATATACAAGTACGCATGCATATGTACATGTATATGCGTGTAATAATATATATATATATATTTATATATAATAGCACATCCGCTGCGAAAGTAATAAAAAAATCTAAAATGTGAACACGTGAACATATATATACATGCATAAAAGACACAAACATGAATTTTATTGTTAATATATATATATCTATATATATATATATCATATAAATGTGGATATAAGACGGTTTGAATCAACATAAATAGCGATGCCGACGTACGTACATGTTAATATATATATATATATGTATATACAACCCCATACAAATGTATATACATAAATATACATTTAATACTGGTTGCATCCTTATATTCTAATATATATATATACATGTGTGTGTATGTATATATACATACACATATGTCAATATATAAATATATATATACCTATGCACATATATAT